AGTCCCCTTTGTGCCAACCCCTGAGAACTCTTCCTTCCTCCCCCCACAGGACGGCATTCAGGGGAGCTGAGCATGGGGCTGCTGGGGTGTGCTGGGGCAGCAGCACTGAGGAGCTTGATAGAAAGGCGGGGGGGGGGGTCTCCGGCCTGCTCTGGTCTTCTCAGTCAGGGCATTTGCAGATGGAAGACACTATCCTAATGGGTTTCCCACCCCAGCATATTGGTCACTGGAGAGCTTTAAAAGAGGGGGTGGAGGGGTGGGGGGGAGGGATGGTTGCCCTTGCATGGGATGAAACGGGGTGTCAGCTTTTAAGAAACCCCTCCATGTGATTCTCACCATGGGTTGAAGGATGACTAGAGCAAGAGAGATGGACACCTGACACGGTTCCCTGCCACAGCACCAGCCGGCCCAGATACCAACACCCCTGGCCACCCCTGACCTGGCCAGTGACCCCTGGCCTTGAGTAGCCTCCTCCATGGACCTCAGAGAATGAACACCCCTCAGGGATTTGTGTGTGTGTGTCAAAAGCTTGGAAGAGAGAGGTTTGGGGTCCTGGGGTCTCCCTTTGCTTAAGTGCCCACGATTGGCGATTGGCGGGACACAGCAGTGAGCGAGTCATTAGCAGACACCCCCCAACCCCACCCCAGGTTCAGTCCAGGGAAAAGGTAAGGCCAGGAGCGCCACAGATGCCATTTTTCAGGCCTCGACCTCACTGTCAAGGTCATGCAGGACAGGTGTCTCTGTCACCAGCCCGTCCCAGCCCAGCTGTGTAGGCCCCGCCAGGAAGAGCTGTGGATCATTTTACCAGCCAGTCAAATGTCACGTCCCAGCGGCCTCGGAGAAAAGGGTTTCTCCTCTTAGGAAAACATTCCTGGAGGTGGTCTAGCTAGGGACACCTGCACTGTGTGCCCCTTTAATAGTCAAAAAGAAATATTGTCCTTAGACCCTGAGCTTAGTCAGGGCAGCCAGATGGAACTGGCCTGTGGGCTTTGCAAATCAGAGGTCACTATGCATATCAGAGGCTACTTTGCAAACCAGATGCTACTCTGCAAAGCAGGTGCTAACCTTCAGAGCCTAATGAAGTTACAGGAAAGAAGTGGGGGGAGGGGGTGGAGGCAGTGGCTGGGTTTATTGAATGAACAAAGGGTCAGCGCCGGCAGGCGGAAGGTAATGTGCCCTCTCCCTTTGCAGTTGTGAAGCCCAGTGGCGTCCACCTCAAGCTGGTGCTGAGGTTCTCAGACTTCGGGAAGGCCATGTTCAAACCCATGAGGTAAGCGACCCCTTCCTTGCTTCCACACCCCATGGTGGCCGTGCTGGGAAAATCTGGACTGAACATTCACATAAGTGGTCAGAGCTCATCAAGCCTGTAGTTTGGAGAAAGTTTGGGGCCATCTGCCCACGTGGGGCTGGCTCTGGTGGTAATGATCAAAGGAAGAGCCGGTCTCCCTTGGGGCCTTGCTGACTAACACCTGTGCACTCTTGCATGGATGGTGTCCGGGGGTCCTTGAGCCAAGGATCATGAGTGTCTACTTCACAGGGGGACACCTGGACCCAGCAGGCCCAGCGCCAGGCAGTGGACGAGAACCCAGGCAGCTGGGTTGTGGAATTCACTCTTCCCGCCCCCTCTCATTGGTCCACACTCTTTTCTAGAGCTAAGATCCTCCACGAGTTTACAGAGCTCGACAGTAGTAATACTTGGTTTTGACTGACAAACTAGACAATGAAAAAAAGCCATGACAACATCAACTACACTTTTGAGTGAAGGTAATTCAACCTGTAGGGTTGTAGGGCAAGTGATTCACTCAGGCGTTTTGCCCCACTGGCCTCTGGCCATCACCTGCAGCCTGGAAGGTGTTAATGCAGGAAGGGGCTGGGGCGGGGGCTGGGGCAGGCCTGCCGGATGGTGGACTGCAGAGCCTGGGTGTGCGCATGCGTGAGTGTAAACACCTGCGCCTGGAGGCCCGGGAGCGGAGGCGGCTTCGCTCAGCGGCGGGATGGCTGGATGGCTGGGGGAGACGGCTACGAGAAGAGGGGTGATGCGGAAGAGGTGAGGCCTTGCGAGAACACCAGAGTGCCCCCAGAGTGTAGAAAGACTTGCTGGGGCCCTGGACGCCTGCCAGCTGGCGGGCGGCCACTACAATGTTGTGTTCCGGCAGCCCCAGGTATTTGCCTTCCAAATGGTGTGGCCATGTGAGTGGGTGAAATAATGCGTCTGCAGAATCCTTCCGTGGCACACGCAGATGGAAACTAAGGAGAGGGTGAATGCCATTCGTTTTCATGTTTGGGGAGAAAAAACGGCTCACTTTGCAAAAGGTGTTTTATTTGCACAAAAACACACAAAGCAGGGCCCTCCCTGGTGGCGCAGCGGGTTAAAGCACTGCACTGAGAAGCTTAAGCCACTTCTGCCGCATGAGTTCAATCCCTGCCTGCCCCGGAGGTGACCACATGGCGCGGCAGATCTCTCCTGACCCGCCCGCTGCTCCCCTCAGCAGTGTGCTTTGTTGATCTGCCTGTTCTGCTCCCCTCTCTGTCTCTGGTGAATCCTCTCACCTTCCCTCTGCATCTCTGGCCTGTACCCCAGTTCTGTATGAATAAATACATCTCTTAAAAAAAAAACACACACACACACACACAAAGCAACAGCTTGAGACCTCTTCTCTGCCTGGCCCCTGAGAAGCCAGAATGCAAAGCTTTCTTGTATTGGCCTGCTTTATTCCCTGACTCTAAGGCAAAAGCTTCCAAGGTGAGGTCATAAAAGGCATTTTACCTGTTCTTCTACCACCATATGAAGTTTACTCTGCATTTTATAAAAATACCAAATGTAGGATCATTTTTAAATGTTTCTTGAAGGGCATGCATGCTTCCTATAAGTAAAGTAAAAAGTGTTTAAAGAAATAAAGCAAAGGAACAAACAAACCCTTAAAATCTGACTGTGGAACTGGGGTAGGGGGTAAAGCCATGGGAAGCATAGCAGAGAGAAGGCTCGCTGGACTCTGATGGGGATATGGGGGGCTCTGGTGGTGGGTGTGGACTTGTGCCTAAATCCCTAAAACATCGTGTTGCAAACCAACATGTGACCTCAATAAAAAGAATTAAATTTGCACAGTAAAGAACATTCCCTTATTAAAAAGAGAATGTAGAAACGTACCTTTGGGTAACTATTATATTTTCAGTGTCATAGATACGATGAGAAGAACGTCCGCACGTGTTGAAACAATTTTCGATTTTAAAATCACTCCACCCCACTCCCACCCTGGTGGTGTAAAATGGGTTAAAGCGCAGGACTACAAAGCTGTCCGCAGCCACTTCAGCACGAGTTCCATCCCCAGCCTGGAGCTGACCCACACGGCGCGGCAGACCTCTCCTGTCTTGCCTGCAGCTCCCCTCAGCAGTGTACTTTGTTAATATACCTGTTCTGCTCCCCACTGTCTCTGGTGAATCCTCTCTGGCCTGTACTCCAGTTTTCTATGCATAAATAATAAACCTTTTTTAAAAATGAGGAAGTGTTTTAGGAAACCCTAACGGGCTTTGGGGAGATGCACTCTATGGATGGAATTCTCCAGAGAATTGGGAGTTAAGGTGAGACCAGGACACATGGGGGAGCTTGGTTGGCCCAGACATGGCCAGTCTGATGAGGAGCCACAGGCCTGTGAGTGGTGGGGGGGTTGAGCTGGAATTGGGGTGTAGCTTTTAAAATAGAACTCCTCCGGCAGCCCCTGATTGTGTTTTCCAGGGTGAGTTAAAGCCTCTGGCAAAGCCACATCACTGTTTGAAATACCAGTGCTGTTTATTTACAGCTGTGGCAATGTTGTTACCTACATTTAAATGGCTTTTGCAATCATCTGGCAGCCCAGCAGTGGGCTATAAAATCGCTTAAAGATCATCCTCCCTTGTTTATTAGCAGGAGACACAGTGTAGGGAGGAAGCCCAGGCCGCTGATGACTGGGAGTCCTCCCGCAAAGTGCTCCCACCCGCCCAGCGAGCTCAGGCAGGCAAGGCTTTTCAGGAACCCATGTGCGCATTAAAAATGCATATAGACCTGCTGCTTTATTTATAATCAGAAAGCCATAGAAACAACCCAAATGCCCACAAATAGATGACTGGATTAAAAAGAAAAAGATAAACAAGCCTTTTGCAGCAACATGGATGGAGCTGGCAAAGATCATGCTTAGGGAAGTAAGCCAGAAAGAAAAGGAAAAATACTGATGGTTTCGCTCATAGCAGGGGCATAAAGGACCAGGGGAGAAAACAATAATAAGAAGCAACTATAAATCAGAGACATTTTACAGGGGTGGAGTGGGGAATAGGGTCAAAAATGGGGGAGGGGAGTATACAGGACTATGGTGATGGCACACAGGGGATTTGGTGATGGGAAGCCCACGGGGATGACAACTGAGATGGGGAAAGGCACAGAATGATGTAAAACTAAACTATTATATTTTTTAAAAACTAAAAAATAATTCTAGAAGTGTATATAGATGATCGGTGTCCTCTAACCAGCCTCCCTCAAGCCCCTGGGCTGAGCTGACATTTCTCTGGGGACCGTCCAGTTATCCCATCACCCCAGGAGCCGGTGCTTTCCTGTCTTGTCCTTGCAGGCACATGAATTGCATCTCTGGGGTACTTTTATCACGTCTGCCTCACACCTGCCTCTCCGCCTCTGTGCCTCTGGGTCTCTAGGGCTGTTCTGCCAGCCGGTCCCTCCCTCCTGTCTGCAGTGCACCAAGAATGTGTGCATTCCCTCCTCCTCTCTCAGCTGGGGGGTTGTTCAGAGACAGCCGTGTAGCCCCAAAGCCGCTTGGCATGGGTGGTACCAGCCGATGTCTGCTTAGCACCCTGCATCCTCCCGCCTGGCAAGTCGACGCGGAAGCCAGGGCCTTTAGGGAATCTTCCCCCGTCCTGGATGTCCAGTATCTTTCTCGCTGGCCCTGACACCAGCCTTGTCTCAGGCTTGCAGTGAAGTCTGAGTACAGGGCCTGATCCCTTCCTTCCTTCCAGACAGCAGCGAGATGAAGAGACGCCTGAGGACTTCTTCTATTTCATCGACTTCCAGAGACACAATGCTGAAATTGCAGCTTTCCATCTGGACAGGTAGGCTGGCGGCGGGCGGGGCCAGAGGGGTCCCCAGGTGGGTCCCCAGGTGGGCCCCCGGTGTCTTCTTCTGGCTCTTTATCTTCCTGCACCTCGTCGTGCCTTCGGACCCAACATGCCCCACCCTAGGACTCGGGAAACGCATCTCCCAGAAAGCCACGACCTGATGGTCCAGGCAGCGGCCACCCAAGGACCTGACCTTGCCCTTTGCTCGTTTCCTGATCTGAAACCAGAGGGGAGTCTGTGCTCCTTCCCACTTAGCCCAGGAGATTCGGGGGTGCTGTGGAGGTGGAAGCCGGCTGGTCTGTGGGTGGGCTGCTGGGTACCAGCTGGGAGCTGTTCAGCCTCCCCCGGCCCCATGAACCTGGGGCCAGGATCCCGGGGGTCCCGTGCACTGTGAAGGCCGAGAAGTCCTGGCATAACCAGTTGGCTGCCAGGCTGTCTGCCGGGGATTTGATGGAAGGGGTTCCTCTATGCCCCCCACACCACCAAGAACCCGGCCATCGCTCAGATCCAAATGGTTCCCTGCCAGGATTCTGGACTTCCGGCGGGTGCCACCCACGGTGGGGAGGCTGGTCAATGTCACCAAGGAAATCCTAGAGGTCACCAAGAACGAGATCCTGCAGAGCGTTTTCTTCGTCTCTCCAGGTAGAGTACTGGCCCAGGTAACGTGCCAGTCTAAGAACGCGGCTGTGTCACCGGTCACGCTCAGCAGGGTCTCCCCTGCCCCTGGGGAGCCCATCCGTCATGGGGGGAGCCCATCCGTCATGGGGGGGATGGGGAGCAGAGGTAATTATCGCACACCCCAGCTGGTCCACTGAGCAGATCGAAGTGGGGATAGGAAGGGCCACAGGTGAGGCTCTAACTAGCCCGTGTAGGAGCTGACACGCGTGGCACCAGGCTCCCCAGAATCGGTGTTGCCCACGGCAACAAGGAAAACGTTAGTTCTGCGGACCAGACGCAGAGGGGCTGGTCCTGCGTCTCAGCTCGGAGACGTGTGATGCGAGTCGGCACCCAGGGCGCCCAGCCCCGTGCCTCGGGCCTGGGTCGTCTTCCTGCTGTGGCAGAGCTGGGGCTTCAGGGCCCCCTTCCCTGGGGTGGGGCTGCAGGCCGGGGGGGGGCGGACCCGCCCCCAAAGCCCTGCCCTCACAGCTGTCTCCTCCCCACTGCCAGCCAGCAACGTGTGCTTCTTTGCCAAGTGCCCCTACATGTGCAAGACGGAGTACGCGGTCTGCGGCAGCCCGCACCTGCTGGAGGGCTCCCTGGCCGCGTTCCTGCCGTCCCTCAACCTGGCCCCCCGGCTCTCTGTGCCCAACCCCTGGATCCGCTCCTACACGCTGGCGGGAAAGGAGGAGTGAGTTGGCCCCCACTGTGAGGCAGGCCCAGCAGGCAGCCCGGGCCAGCACCCTGGGGCCCGCAGGCCTGGGCCTGCTCCCTCCCTTCAGCCATTTGTCTGGCTCTAAGGAGCCTCCTGTGAACCCAGCTCTACGTGCGAAGGGTGCAGAATAAAGCCCCTTGGCCTGGCGGGGCCAGGACCTCGTGGTCTCCTGGGGCCTGGCACAGGGCTGTGGCCCCGTCTCAGCCAGGCTGCGCGAGTGGGGCCTCGGTGGTTGCCGGCTGACAGAATGTGTAAGCTCACCAACCCATGGGAATAACCCCGTCGTGAGGTGCCGGGGGCGGTGACAACTGGGTGAGAGCACCGCGAGGGAGGCGGGGAGGCGCATTCCAGTTAGAGGAACATGGGTGCACGAGAGGACAGAGAAGCGTGGCGAGGCGCGTGTGGGGGGAGGGGCTGCAGGGCCAGGGCCAGGGGCCGAGTGGGGGGCCCCGCTGCCCCTGCCCGCCCGGCCATCCCCCCGGCGGCGTGTGGCCCCCCCGGCCGCCAGAGAGCACCCCACAGTGGGCGCCCAGGAAACGTGGGGTGGGAGGACCCCGAGCCTTCTCGGCACCGGCCTCTGCGGCCGTGTCCTGCCCAGGGCAGCAGCAGAGGCGGGGCGGGCACCCCGAGGAGGCCCCAACGCCTTGCGCCTTGGCCCTCCCAGCCGCGGGGTTTCTTCTCCCCTCAGGTGGGAGGTCAATCCCCGGTACTGCGACACGGTGAGGCAGGTGCCCCCCTACAGCGGCAGCACCCGGCTGCTCAACATCATCGACATGGCCGTCTTCGACTTCCTCATTGGTAGGTGGTCTGCGGCCGCGGGGCGGCGGGCTGGGTTCTCAGGGGCCTGGACCTCGCCCCTGGCCGCCCGGCGTCCAGGGTGCCCTCTCCTGGGGCCGCCACTCAGGAGGCAGCGCCCAGCCGAGGAAGCCAGCGAGTGGGCTCAGCTATGGAGTTACACATGCACTTCACCACGGGAGGGGGCTACGGAGGGACGCCGTGGCTGGGCCACAGGGGGAGCCGACAGCACCCACCTTCACGCCCTGAGGTGAACCCGGGGGCTGTAACCAGACCCCCCCGAGGAACCCAGAGGGCCCAGGGGGATGAGACAGCGCAGGGGCTGGGGGGGCTGCCGGAAGCGGAGGTTTGGAAAGGGCCAGATGAGGGCTTGTCCGCTTGTGGAGCTTCCTTCCGCCTCTCCGCACCACGGAGGACCGGGGAGGCAGGGCCTGAGGGAGGCGCACGGCTGGGCCCGCTCGGCTGAGCGCGGAGATCAGCTTCAGCTGCCCCCGCGTCTCCCTCTCTTGCAGGAAACATGGACCGTCACCACTACGAGATGTTCACCAAATTCGGGGATGACGGGTTCCTTATTCACCTGGACAATGCCAGAGGGTGAGTCCGGCACGGCCCTCCCCCGCCCCGAGCCCCTTGAGGGGCTGTTCAGAGGAAGCCAGACACCCCAGCACAGGCCTCCGCGGTCACAGCCTTTCTGCCTGCTAGTTGCATCCTTTTTCTCCATCTTGCCGAGAACTGCCGACCGCCCCCCACGCAGGCGCAGAGTGGGCACTGAGGACCCTCCGTCACTCGCCGGACGGACGGTTCGGTCCTGGCCCCGGCGGCGGAGCCCAGCTCCCCCGCCTCTGGTCCTCTGTGGCTGAGCGCATCAGTGTGAGGAGGGCGGGCAGAGGCGTGCCTGGCTTTAACCTCCACATGGAGACCTTGGGGCTGATCTGGGGAAGGTCCTGGGCGCCGGCACGGGGCCCCAGGCTGGGATTCAGAAACAGGTGAGGGAGGGCAGCAGGCAGGCAGCGAGGCCGAAGCAGGCCCGGACGCCTTCTGCCCTCCTAGGTTTGGCCGGCACTCCCACGACGAGCTCTCCATCCTGGCGCCGCTCTCCCAGTGCTGCAGGTGAGCCCGGGGCCGAGGGCGGGCGCACCTGGGACTGCCACCCTGCCGCCCATCAGCTTCCACTGGGGTAGGGAGGGCAGGAGTCGCCTCATTTCCCTGGAGCTGCACACACTCCCTGACAACACCTGACCAGCCCCTCGCTGACCTTTCAACCTTCCCATCACCAGCGTGCACTTTTCACCCAGCGGGTGACCTGCTTTCGCAGAGCCAGGCGGTCGTGACCCAACGACACCGACGTCGGCTCCACTGGGACCCACAGCTCCTACATGTTGCTACCTGACCGTCTTAGCAAAGTCCGAAGTCCCCAAAGCCCATGTCAGAGGTTCTCGGGAGAATCTTCCAGATTCTAGAGCCTACTTCAAGGGCGCTAGCCCCCCTGCTCAGCTCAGTGTCCAGGGTTGATCACACGTGTGCCTGTGCTTCACGCCGGGGAACCCTGCGAAGGGCTCAGGGCAGAGCATGAGCTCTCCATCCACTCCCCAGGTGGGCACAGAGCTGCCTCCCCTCCGTGTGAGTCAGGCCAACTTCAGTCCAGGTGATTTCCAGAGAAGTCAAAGGCCCAAGTCAAGATCGGCCCATCTCTTGTTAATCCCTCTGACTGCACAATCTGGCAGACAAATTTCACAGTTAACACGGTGCCACCTAGGGCTTCTGAGATGGTTGCACGTCCGCCACGAGGGCCCTCAGTGGCCTTCCCCAAGCACGCTCCTCACCAGTGTCACAGCAGACCTGTGGCGTGGCCTGGCGAGTGCCAGTGACCCCGCAGCCTACACCAGAAGGCCACTGGGCCAAGGGCTGCAAAATGCTACGTGTCCTCTCTCACCACTCCCCTCTTTACCTGGTTTCCACGAAGCGTGCTTGAGGAGACCCTGGAAGGCCCTCGGGACATCAGCCAGCACGGCGGGCGGGGGTGCGGGTCAGACAGGCTACGTACTCCCTTTGCGCTTACTGGGCCCTCTGTCCTGCCAGGATCAAAAGGAAAACACTGCTGCACCTGCAGCTGCTGGCCCAGGCCGACTACAGGCTGAGCGAGGTGATGCGGGAGTCCCTGCTGCAGGACCAGCTGGCCCCTGTCCTCACGGAGCCCCACCTCCTGGCCCTGGACCGCAGACTCCAGCTCGTCCTGAAGACGGTGGAGGGCTGCATCGAGGCCCACGGAGAGCAGAGTGTGGTGGCCGGTGGCCCAGCAGAGCCCTCGGCCGCAGGCCCTGGCCAGGCTACTGTGCCCCGCTAGGGCGGGCAGAGTCCCTGTGGGGGCCAGCAGTGGGCGCAAGCTGCCCGCACCCTTCCGCCGGTGGCCCCGGAGCTCAGGGAGCGGCAGGGCACTGGGATTACTCTAAAGGGCAAAGGTGGGGCCCACAGACGCTTCGCCTCGGTGCCGTCCGCAGAGGAGCCCAGGACACTGTGGCTCCCTCCGGGGAAGCGCGGGCTCCAGGCGCCCGACCGCACCTGCAAAGTCCAGGCACGGGTCAGGCTTGAGCCTTGTTCCGAGGAGCGTATTAACTGTAACAAATAAAAGGACATCAGATGGAGACCTAACTCAGCTTTCAGATCCTTCATTTTACAGTTACAACCCCTGACCCAGCTACTACACCTCGCTAATGGCAAGCGGACAAAAAAAACCCTAAAAAACAGTTAATTCTCAAACTGGTTTAAAGCAGACTTGAGACTTCCTTATATTCTAGCCACTGGCCCAAGCTGGGTGTGACAATCTCTATGGACTGGTCCACGTTTCTCAGCAGCATTATTACAACGGATAAAAATAACACGGGAGTTTTGGCTCAAAGCATCAGAAAAGGGGTATTTCAAGGGTGCTTAAGTATCAGCAGCACCTACATCAGGATGTCACAATTAGCATCCAGTACCAACAGGCAGAATTTTAATGGAGGGATGAAAAAGCGGCTGGCTCCAGACACCTGTAACAGGGCTCTGTTTCCTACTCCACAGTGCACAGCCAAACCGTACGTGACTGAATGACTCCCATGCCGTAACTGGCCAACCAACAAGCAAACGTCCTAATGTCACAGATGCGCGCTCCTGATAAGAGCCGGCGCGCGATCACCGGGCCACCAGGGTAACAGGGCTGTCTCCCAGGAGGCTTGCAAGGCCAAGAATTGGAGACAGCACCCGCGACTTCTGCAGGTGTACAAAGACAGCACCCCATGACAAACAACGGGGTGCTTCTGACTTCCCAGGGACCCCACAGAGGCACATTACCAGCTCATGGTCCCTGGCTTATGGTCCTTGGGGTCGCAACAACAAAAGCACTCACAGCTCAACCATAAACAAGCACTTTGCTCACACTTTAGACTCAACACAGACCCCCAACTCCAATGGATACAAAAACTTAGGCTCAGAGACTAGCATTACACATCTCAGTTGAAATCTAGGCCCATCCCCATCTCCACTCTTACACACAAAAAACCCCATCTCTCACCCAGTTCACGCAGTCATTTGCTTTAAAAAAAAAAAAAAAAAAAAACTATTAGAGGAACCTTCACCCCAGAGACTCCCTTGCTGGGTGACTCTTCCCACTGCCCAAGCAGTGCCAATACTTCCCTTTAGAGGGGCTGGTAGTCACACAGGAATGGGCGAAGCGGTGGCACCGTGGGCAGGGACCTCCAAAGCACAGCGCCACGGTATGCAGCTCCCCGAGCCCCAGCGATGCCGAGGATAGGCGCCGCCTTCCGACGCCAACAGCCAGCGCTGTGGTGAGCTGCCCACGGACGGCAGCGGCACTCACCACCCTTCTCTCAAGCACCCCATTATTTTCTAATAAAATCATCAAAGGCCAAAAAAGGGCAGAAACAAAAGGCACCTTCTGTTAGCACTACCCAGCTCTGCCACCGCGTCCATTCTGCACCGCTGCTCAGCTCCTCCCAGGGGAAGTCCCCGGCCCCTGCGTGGACACTGGTGTCCGCACTGACACAGCGCAGAGGGTGTCCAGGCAGAGGAAAGAGATGTGGGGGAGTAGACAGCTTTCCCAAAAGCCAGGGGGAGATCCGAGTTTGAAGACAAAATACAGCCGACTCTCTCTGTATCAATTTGTGGCCTTTGAAGTCACCACAGAGCCCCAACTAGCCAACACGGAACCACTAGCTCCCAGAGGAAGCAGGCGTTAGGGTCCTTGGAGCCTCTGCTCAGAACACTTTTGTCAACCAATCCAGACAATCTTGTTTCCTGTATTAAGACGTGTCGTCAGAAACGGCTTACTGAGCATACGTGGCCGATCCACTAACACTGAGCTCGCGGCCTGCAGCGCTGTAACTCATGTCTGAAAGAAGTTACTTAAAGCCTATTTAGTACTTTTCTCTGCAAGGCACATCACAGCCTCTGGCCCCAGGGACACCAGCCCGAACTCCAGCAACACACGTGGGGGCACTTCTATACAGTGACACCACCAACAGAATGCATAAAAATGCCCAAAAGTTGCACAAAGTAGACCCCAGGGAAGACACTGGCCTTTCCGTGCCAACGCTCCCTCCGTAATCCCAGGTCCTTCTCGGGGTCTACTGAGGTCCAAGCTTCACCGCTGTCCAAATGCTGCACTGGTGAGGGCCACCATAAATGTTAGCGAGGAGGCAAGTCCTCCACACCCACAGCACCCAGGAGTGGCTGGTGTCAGGCGCCAGTCAGAGAGGAGCAAGACGGTTCAAAAAGCTCGCCATCTAGTGGTAACTTTTAAAAGCACAAAGTTACTTACGTTGAATAGGCACAGCTAATGAAATGAAAATATTGCTCATTAGTGGTTTTGGTTTAAGGTTGAGTAAGCATGAAATCACAGGCATTGATCTTGTACCAGTCAACACATTCTAACTTTCTACATACACAATACCAATTTCTGCATAAAAGTTCAACAGAGTAAGAAAGGCGAGACTGAAGACTTCACACTTTTAAACTCCAACTTTAAAAAGTCATCAGTATTGAAGTCATTAAAAAAGCAAAAAACTGGGCCCTGCCTGGTGGCACAACGGGTCAGGATGCAGCACTACAAGCTGGCCATAGCCACTTGGATGCGAGTTCGATCCCCGCCCCAGGTGACCCACAGGGCGTGGCAGACCTCTCCTGACCCACCCACTGCTCCCCTCAGCAGTGTACCTCATCCATCTGCCTGCTCTGCCCCCCCTTCTGCCTCTAGTGAAGCCTCTCACCATCCCTGCACCTCTGGCTTGTACCCCAGGTCAGTATGCGTAAATAAATATATCTTTGTAAGTTTTTTTTTTATTTCTGCATACAGACCTGGGGTACTAGGCCAGAGGTGCAGGGAGGTGTGAGGCTTCACCAGAGATAGAGTGGGGAGCAGAACAGGCAGATGGGTGAAGGACACTGCTGAGGGGAGCAGCAGACAGGGTCAGGAGAGGTCTGCTGGGCCATGTGGGTCAGCTCCGGGGTGGGGATCAAATTCATGCTGAAGTGGCTTTAGCTTCTCAGTGCTGTGCTTTAAACCACTGCACCACCAGGGAGGGCCCTAAATAAATAAATCTTTAAAAAAAAAAAAAAAAGCAAAAAACTATTCTATATGAATCAATACTTTCCAGGGAGAATCAAACTGTAGCCAGTACAGTCGACCCAGGAACTGTTCTCTGGTTAAAACTGCTTGCGTGCCTTGGAGAGAGGGATCGCTGAACAGGGACAAGAGGCACACATTACAAAGCAGCACAAATTGAAGAATGTTCTCGAATATAACTTATCGCCAACTCACTATCCAGAACCATCAACATGCTAGTGAAGAGGACTTAAAATCATCCCATTCCTCAAAAACTCTAAGGGATAAACGTCCAAGACTCAGACATACAAACGTCTACGCACTGCAACAGCTAAGTGGGCGTGCTCTGTATTCGCTCCAGCTCCCTGTTTCTGCTGGACGTATCCCAAGGCCAGAGAGCCAGTCCGTCTTCAATAAAATGGAAACCCTTGGTGTTCAATTTGATCTTTTCTTTCCATTATTTGGTAAAAACGAATCTGTGTCGAATACCACTTTGGAGGTTTCTAGGTTCATTCTCTGACAAACAGAATCGGAAAACAGTGAAAATGATGTTCTTTCAAAACATTAGTCCCACAATTCTGATTTTCCGTCTTGCCCACCAGATTGTGAGATTCTGGGCGAGGGGGAAAAAAGAGCAGGAAAGAGAAAGGGAAGAAAAACTGATTCATTTAAAAATTTAAATTATTTCATCTTTTTTTATTACTTGACCTACCAGTAAGACAATCTATAACAAAAAGAGAATATTGTTACACACGGTATAATCAGACTGGAAACCAGGAAACGACATGAAGGGTCCTTCGTCCTTCGGCCAGCTCTATGCTCCCACAGCTGTGATCTCATGTGTGCACGTACCAAGCCCCAAAAATGACTTTGAAAGTCCTGAATATCAACACAGACAAGTTACACCAACCGTGATTCCTCACATACACTCAGACTGCACAAAGATAAAGCTTTAAATGTGATTATTTTTAAATTTAGACTGAAAATTTCTTGGATCGAAAACTACAAAAGGGAGTAAACAGCAAGCCAAGTGACTGGAGAGCGAAGCTCATTTAGAAAGCAATGTACGTATTAAATATACATGAACATGATTATATACATATACGAAATAGTGCAAATGTATGGCATTCTAAACTCATTTAAGTAGTTTTGGCATTTAAACAAAGATCAAATCAAGCTTTAAGCTAGTAAGAACAAAAATTTTATTTTTAATTTTTAAATATAAAAAAGTAGCTAAACACAAGGATACAGAGCAGAAAAACCCTCATTTCATGTAGATTTTGAAAAATAAAAAATTTGGAATAGGGCGACTTTCTATCCCGCACTAAAATGTAAGATCTCTTTCCAGATTGATACTCCAAACTTAGTAACCTAAAAACAACTCAAAACTATGGAAAACATCATGACCAACTTACAGGGCCTGGGATATCAGCAACAAGGGCGGCTGACAGACAGATGGGAAATGTGCCGGTCGCCCCGATACAACCCTGCATCATATATAAACCACCATGAAAATAAAAGTGTCTACATTACAGAACTGTGAAACTTGTTAAAAAATGATAAAAATGACCAGCTGGGTGTCACTGGAGCACATGAAATAATGTAACACAGAAGGTTGATAAGGCTGGAAAATACTGAGATACAGTAAGACTCAAAACACAAGCTGACTTTCAGAAACAAAAAAGCTAGCCAGAGGAGGACAGCCAGCGAGGACAGCAGCACACTTCAGCGGGTGGCCTTTCAGACCGTGTGAAACAGCACAGACACATCCTCCCCCACCCCAACCCCCCCAAATCTAGCTGATGGAAAAGGGAGAGAAATAGGATAAATCAAAGTGAAAACGTATTTGCAACTCTCACGCCCCACGCAGCCTGGCGGCGCAGCCCGTCACACCGGGCTCCGCGCGCCCCCCAGCCCTGACACCCTGCCGTCAGCAGCTCGCTCTCCTTCCAGCAACATCGCCTCCTGCCAGACAAGTGTCCCACCTGTCCTATCCACCCGAGTCGGTGCTACTGAGCAGATTAGCTGGACTCAAGCGAAGCTGAGCACCGACCAAAAGGTCTGAGCTCTCAGCCCAAAGCGTAGACCTCAAATTCGCTCTCAATTCAGCATCTGATGATCAGTATTTGGCACTGTTGGATAAAAGTCTAATCAGAATTTGATCTGAGGCAGATGTAGTTAAAGCAGAACTCCGTATTTGCAGCCTACGATTTGGTTTCAAAATTTCAAAGCAGTTAGAGACAGTCCCACCTAAAGATATTTTTGACTTGAAAACATCAGTAACCAGAGCTAAAGAAACCAGGCAAATAGACTGACCAAAAAACTCTGGTTAAAAAGAAAAAAGTGAACCGACTATATCCATCTGATAATTAGCAAAAATGGGCCTTAATCTACTTTAAATAGAGGCGGATGTCTTTCTACACACTAAGATTTTTCTATGTCCATTTTTCCTAATCCTTAGAGCTTAACGAGAAATCATTTACTCTAGAAAGAAATACAGCTTATATGGCCACAGTCTAAAATACACTTATGATAAGTGGAAAGTAATGTCACTTAAAAAATTCTTGCAAGGTTACAGCATCACTCTACGTAACTCACCTGGCGCAGGGGTCTGCCACACCAGGAAGCGTGGTGAGGGCCATGCCCAGGTGAGAACTAACACTGCACAAAGAGAAGCAGTAACAGCAGTCTCCATAGAACTCTCTCTATTTATTAACTGTTAGAGCACTCACGTAATGCTCCAAATTAAAAACGGTGCAATGAAAGCAACTTTTAATATAAACAGACAGGAAGCTGCGATGCCAGCGGCCACGTGGTGCTGTCAGTAGGGAAAATAAAGCAGTCTGCGGATGAAGCACGGACGGGGACAGGAGAGAGGCGGGTTCAGACAGACAGTGACACGAAACTGTTGTACTGCTGGATGTTCCGTTTGAGGATATCTGAACACGGGCCGAGAACACGTTCGAACCTAGGTCGGTCCAGCTTGACACACTTCAAAGGGCCACGCGCAACCACCGTGGCGGCACGAGGGCGGTTCATCAGCAGGGCGATTTCACCTGCAGAAGGAAGGGGCCGGTGAGAGCAGGCAACTCCCGCGGGAAACTTTCCTGAAGACTCACTGCTGAGCAGAGAAAACTTAGACCAAGTCAGCCACATCTGCGCTTACCAAGACAAGAAGTAAACACCAGGTACGAGAGCACCAATAACCTAGCTAGCCCCTGCAAGGCAAAATCCAGCACTCTCTGAGAGGCAAAATCCACAATTAAAAAATAAAATTCAGGGTCTCCCTGGTGGTTCAACGGGCTGAATTGCATCATGAAGCTGTCCACAGCCACTGCCTTAGTTCCATCCCCAGCCAGAGTGACCCACAAGGCGCGGCAGACCTCTCCTGTCTCCCTGCTGCCCCCCTCAGCAGTGGATCTCAATAGATCTGTGCCCCACTCTGTCTCTGATGAATACTCTCACCTACCATACTTCTGGCCTGTTCTTACTGCACAAATAAATAAAATTCAGAAGACACAAATTATAAAAGACTATGCTATCACACTGAGGCGACTCAGACTATTTCTTTGTGCTGAGAAAACCCACGTACCAAAGTAATCAGAAGGCCCCAATCTTCCCACTTCCACAAACTCTTCATTTTCTGACCGACGCTGTAGCACAGCAGCAGAACCCTGCAGTTAAATGACCAAAAGCAAAGATAGTCAAAAAAAAGCCCCGACTTTGAAACACCCCATTCACTTTTAGCAAGACTTTGCTCTCAGCCCCCCAAAAAAGAGGAGGAAGGACCCAGAAATTATTTCCAATCCTGTGCTAACATGCTAAAAGACGGCAGAAAAGCTTGATTATCACTATGTGAGCTCTGATTTGCATCTGAACAGCAGTCCTTGCTGATGGGGTCTCTTCTCAGGTTAAGGCTCTTCAAGGTTTAGCCAAGAGGGCCAAATCCAAGCTCTCTGCCTATTTTTTAAATACAATGTTACAGGCCTGACACTGCGTTTATTTGCTCATTATCAGTGCAGCGTGGAGATGGCTGCTTCTGCACAGCACCGCAGCACAAACGCCCTGCAGCACAAACGCCCTGCACAGAACCAGAAGCCCTTCGCAGAAGAGCCAGACTCCTGGCTTAAATAGAGTCAATTAGCATCTGAGCCACGTTGACAGGAAATGCTCTTCCCTACCTAGCAGACAGCAATACCTGCTATACATCTGCATGTGAAACTGTAAAAAAAAGTTATCTTTTAGAACTGAAATTACCTCTGATCCTTGTTTGCAAGTACCCAAACATGATCTTAACAAGGAGGGTCCAGAACCATCATAAATTGTTCTGCTAAACGGCCGAGTTTGGTTTAGCTTGCGCATGAGGATGAATTTGGGTAGGTCAGCATATGCGAGAATTCTGACTCAAACTCATTTCAAAAGGACAAATAACTTAAACCATCAGTATTTTTTAAAATGAAGATTATAAAGCAACATTAGTCCCGTGTTTCCCTTTTACAGAGTCCTTTACCTCTAAAATTATGAAGAACTCATCCCCTGGTTCTCCCTGCACCACAATCTTCTGCCCATCCTCAAACTGGACTGGTTCCAATGCATCCGCTACAGTGAGACGTTCCCATTTGTCCAAAGATTCTGAAAGGCAAGAGTCGAGAGAATTTCTCCACATTTCCTGGTATTGCTAGAAATCTCATTAACAAAAAGCATAAAGATATGCAAATAGCTACACCAATCGTCGCAAATCAAAAACAGCACCTGTCTTCAATTACCCCTAGTCTTAGCAAGATCCTGTCATACCTACCTCTTCGATGGTTACTTCAATCGCCCAGATGCCATATATTAATTTACACTGGTGGCAAATACACAAAAAATATATCCTTAAAAATTAAAGACTGTCAAGGGCCTCCCTGGTGGTGCAGGTGTTAAAGTCTCAGTGCTGTCACGCTATCAACAGCTACTGCGGCCTGCGTTTGATACCTGACCAGGGAGCTGACCCCCAGGGCACAGCAGACTTCTCCTGTCTCAGACTACTGCTCCCCTCAGCAGTGGATTTCAGTTAATCTGCCTGTTCTGTGCACATCCACCCCTACCCCCGGCCCCTCACACTTCTGGCCTGTACTGCAGCTCTTCTATGCAAAAATAAAGAAAAAAATGTGTGTGAGTGTGCATATGTATAAAGTAAATAAAATGCTTAGTCTTTATTTAAAAGAAAAAAACAAACCACAAAGTCACTGATGAAGCAACAGAGGCCCAAGTCAGAGAGACAGTGTACCTACGGCGGAAGTTCACTTTGAGCCTTTCTGTCTAAGAGGAATCGGTAGCACATAATTCCAAAAAGCCCAATCATTTCTAATTAAGAGATTTAGGATAATGAGAAAATTGAACAGTTCTGAGTATTACTCCTTAGTCAAACTTCAACTGTCAAAAAGTCCATGTGTTTTTCATGACAGTAGCAAAAAATGGGTTAAGATATCTAGCTTTTATGAAATGCTCTAGGTTCTGATTAAGTAATGGTAAGTCTTCAATTTAATAATTCCCCATGCAATCTTCTAAAACTCACCTAGAATAGACACTTTACTGAGGAACTCCTCATACATCTTCCGCTTTCTCAGTGTGCTTCCCTAAAATGAAAGAATATTAGGTGATATCTCAAGAATTGGTAATTATCACATATGCTGTGGAGTAAACTTACAAAAGAAAAAGACAAAGCCAGAGAAGTCAAAGCTTGTTGCTGCTGCTTCTTAATATGCAACCAGTTTTATTTATGTTGAAAGAATAACATCTGCTCCACTCAATAAAAAGCTCTTAATAACTTGCCACTAAAAGCAAGGCCAGGGATATAGCCAAAGAAGGTTCCCAGCACCACTAGTTAGTGAAATGCCAAATAAATAATCTGTCCTCAAAAACACCAAGGAACACATGTGACTAGCGACACAAGTATGCCTAGCACGGAGCTTCCACACAACCATCTCCCCGGGGATGAAGAAACAAAGCTGCTGCCACGTACAGACAACAGCTGGAAGGCCACAGCCCCACACCTGGCCAGGCCGCATCCCGGGCAGCTCACCCCGGCCGCCCAGCAGCAGAGGGAAAGCACAGACCTGCAGCTCTCCTTACAGTCAACTGACTGCCTTACTAAGAATTCACACGTGCACACAGAAAATTTGCAAAGTACATCAGACTGCATATTATCAAATAGTCAGGCACTGAAAAGTTTAAGGAAACCACGTTAAGATGACCAACAGCATTAGCTGGGACTTACACCTCAAAGCTCCTCTCTAAGTTTGTCAAAGAAACCTAACTATCAGCAGACTGCTCCCACTCTATTTATTCCTTCAGTGAGACGCGACCTGACATTTACTCTACGGATAATCCACCTTCAACTTAGGGAAGCCAGGACTTATGACCTCGCCGGCTGACCAGGATCTGCAAAGGTTAGGTAGGTAGAGATGTGCCTCTCAGCAAACCGAGAGATTTCCAAACAAGCGCTGGCTACTACATACATGACATTTGTCGTTCTCATTTTTTCTGGCCACTTTGTTCCAAACCAACATGGTCTCAAGTGATACAATGAATAATGCAAAACTGGGCTTCAAGCAATCAATCAGTGAAAGTAAGGAATATGTCCATTTTAATTTGGAGATATTATTCAAAATGAGTTACACAATAATGAAATTTGAAAGCACTCCAAAACCAGAGTATCTTACCATGAGGATTCTTCTATAGCTGTCACGGTCGATGCCCCACAACTTCACATTGGTCTTTGCTTTGACAGTGGCTGCTCTCGGTGTTCCATAAATCAAAGCCAGTTCGCCAAAGCTCCCTCCTTCGCCAACACTGGTGGCCCACTCATTGTTGACATAGACCTACAAATGACACAAAAAGTTGATTTTCTACGTAGACACAGACTTAAGTATTAAAAAGCTTTTTGAGATCAGAACCCTAAACTCTGTTTTATAAAGTAGAATGTTTCCAGTACACAGTAGAGCAAAACAACTGACTTCTGACAACGAGCTAAAAAAATACAGTGTGACTGTACTATACCTGATCAATTTCCTGCTAAGAAACGCTCAGGGCAAGGAGGTTAAGCTAAAAGTACTAATGATGGTGCGTTCACCTATGGGATATCTGTGCTCAGCACTGCTCAGCATTCATCTCCCTAAGGCATCGATGTGACAATCACCCCATGACATTCCTGAGCCATCATCGGCAAGGAGACTCACTGAATCAGGAAAGCTCTACCAAGACTCACAGATGATGACAGGGCCACCGCACACACCACACTTTCATCACAATGTTAGCTTGTCTTAGACTTCCCATCTAATGGTAAAGAATTACCTTTTAAAATTTGTCATTAAGGCCCTCCCTGGTGGCGCAGCAGGTTGAAGCACAGCACAAAGAAGCTAAAGCCACTTCAGCATGAGTTCGATCCCCGCCTGCCCCGTAGGTGACCACATGGTACAGCAGACCCCTCCTGACCCGCCCATTGCTCCCCTCAGCAGTGTATTTCTGTACATCTACCTGTTCTGCTCCCCACTGTCTCTGGTGAATCCTCTCATTTCCTGCACCTCTGGTCTGTACCCCAGTTGTGTACATAAATAAACAAATCTTTAAAAAAAAATATATCTGGCAAAAGGTATAGGCAAAATCTGATATAAAAGGGTTGGACTAGTGAGTGCTTCAGATACGGTTACAAACACAATCCATCAATCAACACACTGACTTAAAGCATGACCAACATGGGCCTCCCTGGTGATGCAAGGGGTCAAGTCTCAGCACTATGATGCCATCAGCAGCCACTGCAGCATGAGTTTGATCCCTGCCTGGGGACTGACCCACAGGGCACAGCAGACGGCTCCTGTCTGCCCATGGCACCCTGCATCAGCAGTGGGTTTCAGTAGATCTGCTCCCCACTCTGGTGACTCCTCTCACCCCCTGCAC